CTGGCAAGTGGTTTAGCTGTGGCTTGGTTAGATTTTGGTTTTTAATTTGGAAATAGAAACAAAGGACCACAGGCAGTTGTAGCAGAATGTTGGGGGCCTCAATAAATGTTGTTGACAGGTGTCATCGAGTCAGTACCGACTCATAGCGACCTTATGCACAGCAGAAGGAAACACTGCCCAATTCTGAGCCAATCTTACAATTCTTGGCACGCTTGGGCCCCTTGATGCTGCCGCTTTGCCAGTTCATCTCGCTGAATGTCTTCCTCTTATTATCTGACCCTCCACCTTACTAAACATGACATCCTTCTCCAGTGACTGGTCCCTCCTGACAATAGGTCCGAAGTATGAGAGACGAAGTTTTGCCATCCTGGCCTCCAGGGGGCGCTCTGGCTGCACTTATGTATTGGTTCTTTTGGCAGCCCGCGGCACCTTCAGTATTCTCCTCCAACACCATAACTCAAAAGCATCAATTCTTCTACGGTCTTCCTCATTCACTATCCACCTTTCCCATGCATATCAGGTTATTGAAAATACCATGGCTTGGGTCAGGCGCACCTTAGACCTCAAGTTGACATCTTTGCTCTTCGACACTTTAAAGAGGTTTTTAAAAAGACCCTACTGATCAATAAACAGTCCTGGATGTATAGATTTTTCTAGTTTAATTCTCTTTATGCTTAAAGTGTATCCTATTGTTGATTTGTTTAGTTAAGGAGATTGCCTTTGCTAAATATTGGTAATTAATCAAAAACAATTGAGGCAAACCTTTGATAAACTATAAAACCACTTTCAAATGTTAATTTTTGGGAATACCAGTATGGCAATGTAGGATAATGAATGGGCTGATAACCGAAAGGTCGGCGATTCAAACCCACCAGCCGCTCCTCGGAAGCACTGTACAGGGTTGCTATAGGTCGGAACCAACTTGATGGCACTTAATAACAACAACCTGTAAATAGAGTCAGTGAAATTCACATCAGGTTCTTCAGAAATGAAATGTTTGTTCCATATGCCTTTTACTGTGCAATAGTTTGAATAACTTTTTATGTTTTTGTTTTGATTTTATTTTTTAATATTTCAGGCAAACGTTATATAATAGCACTTCAGGCCAAAACAAGTTCTCAGGCACCTTCTAGCTTCCACCACGGCGGTTTTGTGGCCCCTACCGCTATCTTGTTAACCTCCTCCACATTACTAAAAAATTCATTCACTCAGTCTTCATTTCAGTGAATTGTTAGAAGAAGCAGGTGAGAGCCTGCTCTATTAGATGGGGTTCCAGTAACTAGAATTACAGATTCATCAAGACAGCAGAGTGACTTCAGTAGAGAAACAGCACCAACATACAGAATACATGCCCACACATGTCATACTAATGAGCATGCACATATGTATGTCATGCCAGTGAGCATGCGTACACATGATCCAACACTAGACAGTGAATTTGTACAGACGTCTACCACAACAGATAGTGAACTAACCCGGTGGTCGTGCACACCCGCCTACTACACCAAATGGAGCACCCACCTGCGTGTCACCCCAGACCCTCATTAGTGTTGTACAGAAACTCATTGCAGGGGAGGACACCCTGTGTGTGAAAGGACACAGTACGGCAGAGGTGCCGGGGACAGCTGCCTCACGTTACTCATGAGCAGGTGGACTGAGACGTTCAAATAGCTGTGGGCAGAAGACTTGGGTGCAGAAAGCAATGCATGCAACTTCATGAGGCAGGCAAGAGGGTGTTTGAGAAACAGCCAGGAGACACCTGCAGAACCAGCGGGTGAGGGGAGCAGAGGAAAGAGCGACAGACCCACACCCATGGCCATGAGTCCATTCCTACTCATAGCAACACTGTGTAGGGTTTCCGAGGCGGTAAATCTTTATGAGAGCAGAAAGCCTCATCTCTCTCCCATTGAACAGCTGGTGGGTTTAAACTTCCAACTTTATCCTCCAGCAACACCAGAGCTCCTATAGAGACAGAAATGGGGAAACTAGAGTCTGAAATTGATGCTACAATATTAGGGTTTGTCCTGAGAGTTGGGGAAACCTCTGAGGATGAGGAGGCTTTGGTTAGACTCTAGGATCAAGATGTGATTGGGGATCCACATGGGGACTACTTCAGCGCCCAGGAGAGAGGGGGGTGGTGGACAAAGGTAGGAGTTGTCTGCATGAGATGTAATTTGAAACAGAACTTCCTATCGCATTTCAGCTCGAGGATGCCTGGGGTAAGTGAGTCAGGTATGAGCAGGAGGAATGCAGTCTGGCAAAGGACACGTGTGTACTTTATAATTTTTGGAAAACGAGAGAGATACAAGTGAGCAGGAACTAGTGTCCTTTAGTCAGTGGACCAGGGCCAGTCCTATATTGTCCACATTTGCGTCTCAGATGTGGGTTTCCAGATTGCTGAAGAAGATGCAATGAATAAGGATGGAGGGAAAAGTAACCCTATAAAGGAGGACTTGGTGGAGTCAGAGCCTGTGTTCTGATCCTAAGAGGAGCTCTTTCCACAAAGCAGACAGCAGACTGTCCTTTCTACACTGACTCTGATGGAAAACTTTCTCTTCCAGGAGAACCAAAGGCAGAGATCCATCCATGTCCTCCCTGCCCTCTGGTCTTGTCTGGTCAGAAATTCCTCCATCAACAAGTGCAGCACACCCATCCCTCTCAGTCCTCTCCAAGAACTCCTGTGGAAAAACACCTTGACCTAGAGCATCGCCATCCAGGGGATGGGAAGGAGCCGCATTCTGAGCAACTCCCCACGAATGACAGAGCGGAAGGTCTAGAGATGGGAGATGGACCCAAAGCCATGTTTGAAAGGACAAGACAGGGGGACATTTTAAAGACCTTCTCTAGTCTACCCAAAGACCAAATGGGGAGTTCTAGGGAGGCTAACAGAATGATGCAGACAGACGCATGCCCAGGCCAGAGAATGAATGCTGAGGACACAGGCAAATTATTCCCGGGAAAAGGATTCCCAAGAATTGCAAAAGTCATGTGTAGAGAGTGTGGGCAAGGCTTTAGTGTTAAGGCAAGCCTTATCACACACCAGAGGACACACACAGGAGAGAAGCCCTATGTCTGCAGGGAGTGTGGGGAAGCCTTTAGTCAGAAATCAATCCTCATTATACACCAGAGAACACACTCAGGGGAGAAACCCTATGTCTGCAGGGACTGTGGGCAAGGCTTTAGCCGGAAATCAGTCCTTATCATACACCAGAGGACACACTCTGGGGAGAAACCCTATGTCTGCAGGGAGTGTGGACGAGGCTTTAGTCAGAAATCACACCTCATTAAACACCAGAGGACACACTCAGGGGAGAAGCCCTATGTCTGCAG